AAAGCAAACATATTTTTTAGCTTTAACAGTGGCGTGCGTACGGGTATTGACATCGATATTTTTTAAGAAAAAAATGGTACCCCAACGGTTTTTTGCCAAACAAAAATTATTTTTGAATTCCCCGTTCAATTTAAAATGAATCTCTTTTGAATTGTTTTCCTTCGATACGCCATTATTGAGTAAAAAAATAAAAACCGATCTATTGTCCCAGAAAATTAATGTAATAATTATTGAAGAATGCAATTTAGCAATAAATATATAGTTGCTTTTGAATATGTCACTGTCTTTTGGCATCTGATAAGTCTATGGACCTTTTGTCGGTAGTATCTTCAAAAAGTTACACAAAATCCGCAATTTGAATCAATGACTCTGTTCACGGACAAAGCTAATTTTTCTCGAAATGCCGTTCAGAATTTCCACAATAATCATTTGTGGGCAGAAGAAAATCTCTATACCGTAACCGAAAAATTTCCAACGACTATTTTCGGTTAACGTATGGGCAGGAATTATTGGCAACCACTTTATTGGCCCATTCTTCATGCCGGGACGACTTGACGGACAGACTTACCTCAATTTTCTTCCACAACAGTTGCCTTTGCTGCTTGATGATGTTTCGTTAGTAATAAGAAACAATATGTGGTACATGCATGATGATGCACCAGTGCATTTCAGTGAAGCGGTTCGTACTTATTTACAAACTGTTTATCCAAATCGTTGGATTGGTCGCGGTAGGCCCCAAGAATGGCCACCAAGGTCCCCAGATCTCAACAGTTCAGATTTCTTTTTGTGCGGCTATTTAAGACACTAGTGTACACAAGTCCCATTAACACTGTAGGGGAATTAAGAGAAAGAATAGTTGCAGCTTGTAATAGAATAAAAAACACTCCAGGGATATTTCAACGAGTGTGCAATTCCATGACAAGGAAGGCGGAAGCATGCATACTGAGTGAAGGGGACCATTTTTTACAATTTGTGTAATCATTTCGTTGGCTTTGATGATATGTTTATGCTGTCAATAATTGTTGTTGTTCACTACCCCTAACGTGTTTAATTTTTCCAATTAAATTAATAATAATTTTGCAAGTTAGGCAGTAGAACAGTTTTTATTTTTTTACTCAAAAATGGCGCATCGAAAAAAAGCAATTCAAGAAAAATCATTTGTTTTAAATTAAACGGGAAATTCAAAAATAATTTTTATTTGGCAAAAAACCATTGGCGTACCATTTTTATCTTAAAAAATATCGAAGTCAATACCCGTAGGGCACGCCAATGTTGAAGCTAAAAATTATTTTTGCATTGAAAAATATGCAACTTTATTAACTTTCACTACGTACTAAATATCAGTGAAATATCTGAAGCGGTTCTAAAGATATTAACTAAAATAAAAACTTAAACACCCCGAGTTTTTGTAAGGAAAATTCTTGGACCATAATTTATAAAGCAAATTAACATTAATTTTTCATGTAGATTCACATCCTTAAATATTCGCATATCGTTAAGGAACATCCTGTATACAGTGTGTCTTAGATACGCCTGTCTATACAGGGATCACGGCTCCTGTTACACCTACAGTAAGAGTTAAATGGGGAAAGTTTAAGAGAAGACTTAGTACTTTCTATAGCCTGTTTCAGACTTACGATCAATTGGCTTCGAGAATATCAGCAAGTAAATCCAAAAGATTGATTTGGCAGCTGTCAAGATGTGACATTATTTGGGCATTTTTTAAGAAAAATAAGATAACATGTATGACATGTGTCAATATCAATAGTCCTTTGTTTTCCAGCAACCAGTCTCAACTTTCATTTTTTTCATGACCGCCATATTGGATTTTTTGAATTTTGAAGAGAGTGTGAAATTTTCAGTCCAGTGATGTCTCACAAGTTCATAAAGGATTGGAATATCATCCAAATAATATCATCACACGTAATGTCATGTACTAGTTTTTTTCTAAGGAGGCCATGATTTAGATGTTTGTCAGAAAATAACATTAATGAGTAAGACATAAGAAACACATAAACGGCTTCCATTCTCTTGAAACCAGGTTGTTCTAAACTCACCTTCGGCTAGACTAGCTCGTAAATCCGGCACGACCTGGTTTTGCAAGAGCTCTAGCTACCTGTCCGTTTAGGATGTAGACAAACACAAATGGTCCTATAAGTCGATTTCCTGAAGTGATTAATACCTAATTTCAAATAGGTGCCCAACTAAAAAGGTAAGGTAGATTGAATTACCAATGACCCCACACCAAAAGGTAGTTCCAAATCTGGTCTGTAGACGGCTCTCTGAGGGTGATGGCGTTCTACAGCACAATGATAAGTGTTGTACTTATTAAAAGCTCCACAATTGGTAAACCTACCACAAAATATACAAAATCGGGATTTTCATTAGACTTCCTAGTATACCACTCGCAGAAGCGCATTCGCCTTGGAAAATCAGTTTCCTTAAGTCCTTGAACTATTGTAAGTTTGTATGGATGGTACTTATTCTTATCTAACACTCTCTGTACTGTTGATTTTGACACACCAATTTCTCATTATATAGTTCTTACGGAAGCACTTGGGATTTCGTTGACAGCTTGTAAAATGTTTCTGTCACGATTTTCATTTTCAATATTGTCTCCGCTTCTAGGTTGTCCTAAGGCCTCATGCTTTATTAACTCCAACAGCTCAATCTGATTTTTCGACTGACTACCATTCCACTGCTACACTAGCTATGTCTGGTGTAGAGGAAATCAATGTGCTACAGGCGCTCAAGAAAATTAAGCCAAAAATGACTGGGGCCTGATCAAATACCTGCATTTTTTGTGAGAGATTGTGAGTCCATTTTAGCATATCCACTCATGATCATTTTCTCTGAAAAAAGATCACTTTCCATCTATTTGGCAGTTGTCTAGGGTAACTCCTGTTTCTAAAAAAGGTGATAGGAATTATGTAGAAAACTATCGGGCTATCACAATTATCAGTAATTTCGCTAAAACATTCGAAATAGTGATACAAACTGTATTATATTTCCATGTAAGCAGGTCTATATCCGTCAGTCAACACGGTTCCATGGAGGGCAGGTCCACAGTTACTAACTTGCTACATCTTACTGAATATGTTTGTGAATCAACCGATAGACAACTTCAAACGGACGTAACATATACTGATTTCTCTAAAGCGTTTGATAGTTTAGACCATAACATACTACTCATTGTTGCTATTTTTCAGATGTTATTTATTTCATAGGAAACAGTAAGTTATGTGCAAAGGACATAAGTCAAGCGAATACCCTGTAATGTCCGGTGTCCCTCAAGGATCTAATCTGGGACCTCTGTTATTTATTATGGTCTTAAATGATATTTCTAAAGTAATCGATGTCGATTTTCTTATACTTCGAAGTTGAGTCATTTATTTTAACAGTGAGTAGATCTGATCAAAAGAAATGTTTTTTTCCTTTACCATTTTTCTGGTAAAATTAAAGTAACAAAGTTATAGCCCTTTGGAAGTTTGAGTACCGACCTGTCTCAATAATAATATTATGTGCTCGTGTTTGGCGACAACGGATATAATCCGCCGTATCGGTTCATCGCATCGGAAACAAAAAAGCGAAAGAATTTGGAACGATGTTTTTACAATTATTTCATTCATTTGTATACAGTCAGTGTCAGTGAATAGTGGTATCTGTTGCGTGGATCAAACGAAATAAAAATGGCACATGTTTATGCGGATCGGTTTCCCAATCGAGTGCAACCAACCCCTCGTGCCTTTGTTAATGTAGTACAACGGGCTCGTGAATCAGGTGACTTAAGACCTCACAGGGGACCTCACGATCAAATACAGGTCCGCACTGAAATACTTGTCGGGAGGATACTTTGTAAAACAAGGTAAACATTTTTTTTATTTTTTATTTTATTTTTACACACATATTTTGGTTTATCTTCCTTCTACAATCATTATCTGAAAATTAATGACTCAACTTCAAGTCACCCTGTATATGCTGACGATATGAAACTTTTCTGTAGAGTCTCTAACATTGACGATTGTCATCGCTGGCAATTCAACATTGTAAGGTTTGACAACTGGTGTCGTGAAAACAGACTGGTTTTGAATGCTGCTAAGTGTCACGTTTTGTCGTTCACTTTAAAAACAGGGGTAATGATGTATGAATATAGTATTGGTGACAGGAAACTTGACAGACCTAATAGAGGAGAAGGTGCTTTGTTTTTATTTATTTAAAATACAATGTTCATATTTGTTTTAATATTAGGCCTAGTATAGCATAGCTGGAACATATGTATGTAATAATACCGGGAAAAAATAGTCTAAATATGAAAAGCTTTCACTTTACAATATTTATTTCTATAAAAGGTAAAATACAAGATTTTGCAGGTAGGGTCCAAATATGGGCTACCATCAAAATACATCTAGATATTGCCCGTGGTTTCACAGTATTTCAAAAAAAGATATTCTAGGTATGAAATGTTATCAATAATCATATTATTAAAAAAACAGTTTAAACTATAAAACCAAATAATAACTGTTGCACAAATGCTTATCGCCATTACGTCAGGCTTGAAACAATAAACACAAGTTTATCGACAAAAAGTCTTGGAGACAAAATATAAAACTTATTTACAAAAGTCACATATGTAAATGTCCTTTTCAGCACCCGCACAGTCACTATGTGCCCACATAAAACACTGAAAACACTTCACCCAAACTTCTCCTCTAGTGTCTTCTGAAAACATTCCATTGCAAAATAAGCAACTTGCATCCTCATCGTCTGGGTAATGTCCATTAGGCCTTTCAATGTCACTCGAACTGTCGTCGGGTAAGTCACCATCAGAATCTGAAGATTCTGACTCCGGTTTTGAGCTTATTTTTGGTCTTTTGTCATCTTATTGCTGCTCTTTTTTTTTGAGCCATCAAAATCGTTAAATAGCAATTTTTTTTTGCTCATGTTCGCTGCAGACTTTTCCAGGCTCTTCGAAAGCTCTTCTTTGTATGGTGTATCTGTGATCACACAAGCACTTGAAGACTTGCGACCACGATTTGTGACCTTTTCTTGATGTTGGGTACTGGGGCAATTTGAAAAGGGCTAATTTGCTTCGATGGTCCAGGTAGATTCTTTGGAGTGCTTGAAGAGCAGCATTGAGAAAATGATGCATGGGAAGATGATGTAGATCCTACCACCTTTGACTGATCAGCCTGGGGTGCATTGCATGTTTTCTCTGCTTCGATTTCAGAGGCTATGAAATCAGCCTCTGTGAAAATATTTTTGTTCAAAGGAAAAATTCCGGTTGCCTTGAAACCATTGACTGCAATATCTCCCGTCTGGACCTTAAGGTAAGCTTTCCCAAAGAGCTCCATGATGTCATATGGTGTAACAGCGCGGTTTGAATGTCTAATAAATTGTCTTACTTCCTCACTATAAAAAGCTTTTAATGGTCCCATGAATGTCTTGTCGAGCGGCTGCAGTTTATGTGTAGAGTGCGGTGGAAGACAAATTATTGTCACGAAGCTCTTTCGGGCCATGTCAATTAAATCTGGATTTCGGACGTGACTGTAATGTCCGTCCAAAATCAGCAGAACTGGCGAGTTTTCTGTCGGACAGACTTTCTCAATAAAATGAGCAAACCAGTCTGTAAAAATATTACTTTGAACCCATCCTGAGGGGTGAGCTCTCCCTATTGAACCTGGAGGGCATCCTTTCATTAGGATTTGAGTCATATTTGTCCTTGGGAAGATCACTAGAGGAGGGACGAAAACTCCAGAAGCACTCATGCATGCAATTATCGTTACGGTAGAACCTCTCTCTGCAGAAGTCAAGGCTGCTATTTGCTTTTTTCCTTTTCGACCAATGACATGAGGAATTTTGCTTTGAACAATAGAAAGTCCTGTTTCGTCAACATTAAACACTCTCTCAGCTGGAAATTTGTGTTTTTCGTAAGCCTCTTCGAGCATATTGAAAAAACTCTGAACATTCTCTTTGTTGAAGCCTAAAGCTCTTGAGAAAGATGTTCCACATGGTTTCCGAATAGATAGGTGCTCTTTATGACGATTTAAAAAAAGATCCACCCAAGATCTGCCGGCCTCGTTACGGTTAAATGGCGTTTCAAGATGATTTCTAATTGCAATTTGATAAGCCATTCTGCGCAAATCTCGGATAGTGTACCCATAAAACTTCTGCTCCATTATGAGTAAGTAGGAAACTAACTCTTTTTCCAAGTCTTCACCCAAGTAAGGCTTTCGCCCAAGCTTAGTACAAACTGCTTGTGCTGGAGTAAGGTCAAGTTTTTTACTCAAAGTTTGTAGGGTTGTACGAGGCACATTAAAAGTTTTTGCCGCTTTTAAGGTTCCCATCTTTTTTTCTCGAACCACTGTAATTGCTGTTTCCATGTCTTCTTTCTTCCACGACTTCCTTTTATCTTTCTTGACATATTTTGGATTGCTGCGCGGCATTCTGAAACCAAAATAAGTCGTAATACTAAATAAAGGTCCAAATTCGGGCTAGCCCAAATTCGGACCACACTTTGTAGCCTATATTTGGACCATCGTTATCAAAAAGAATAGGTGTGTGGCAAATATTAGTGAACAACATTATAGCAAATGTAACCTATGTAAGAATAACCTTAGTATGTCACTAAAATCATTAATGAAATAGATCAGTTCTAAGTTCAAAAGATCACAGTGTCAAAAAGAAAATAAACATACCTTATAAACTTTCCGAGTCGCTAAATCACAGGATATAGCACACCGTGGAACATAACATCTACACATGTCAAATGAACACAACCGATTTTTTACCGCCAACGGTTTGACTGACGAGACATCATTGTGCGCTGTTGCCTTCTCTTTGCCAGTAAGTAGGAAACCACAGTATCAAGTAGCCTATATTTAGACCCTAGCCTATATTTAGACCTTCTCCTCTACAGTTAATGACTTGGGAGTCACATTTGACAGAAAAATTTCCTTCCCCTATCACATCTAAAATGCTGTTGTGGCTGCATCAAAGGCGTATGGTTTTATTGTAAGAAATACTGGTGATTTCCCCAACTCCTTTACACTGAAAATACTGTACTATGCTTATGTAAGATCTAAGCTTGAGAGTATGCGTCCCTGGTATGGTATCATCATCAAATATATACTGACCGCTTAGAGTCCGTTCAAAGAAAGTTTTTAAAATACGAAGCTGACGGGATATATCCTGCTAGTGGCTTTCCTCATAGTGAGTTGACGGTGAGACACAAAATCTATGAATTATAGAGTAGACGCAAAAATAACTCACTTAAGTTCACTCACAAGCTCATCCATGGCATTATTGACTCCAGTGTCATCATAGAACAACAGAACAACGTAACTTCTTAATTCCTAGACTAGCGTCACGAACTAGTTTAACTTTTTACTTAGCCAGGCCTAGGACTGACATACTTAAGTTTTCCCCTATCTATACAGAGTGGCGCATCAAAAACGAAGCAGGCGCATTTAGTGGCAGCTCAGTTTTTTTTTGAAAAACGCTCAGACCCGTCGATTTTGTTTTCGAGGGGGACACAAGTTTGGCAAAAAATCACGTTAACACGTGCAGCCTCGTGGGCGGGGTGACACCAACCCTAAAATCTTAAATGGAAAGGGGGGTCGAGTGATACCTCATTTTTAAGGTCTTACAATTCCCTTTATAATGATATAAAATTAATGTACTTCAGTTCAGTAGTTTTGAAGATTTATTGGTTTGAAGCTTAAAGTACCTAGACTTTAATAGGTACATCAGATTAGTTTGTATTACTTTCAGAAGAAATTTGACTAAAAGAATTTACTCAATAAGTAAATGCTTTTCTTCGCTACACCCATGGTTTGTTTATCATTTTGTTGTTGAAAATAGCTGTTGGAGCGTTTTTTGTGGCAAAAAGTGATTTCTTGAAGAAAGATAAGGAAATATCTCGTACTTATTTTAAGTAGGAATTTAGTACATAGTTTGCAATTGATTTGACCAAACTTTGTTGCTAAAATAACTTGTAACGCTTTATTACATAAATTAACCATGGTATATTCCACAGCTGAAAGAGTTGAAAATATGTTCTAGAACTTGTAGCTAAATTTCGGGAAACTGGGTCAGTCGTCAATAAAAACCGCAACATTGAAAATACAATAAAGTACGAAGCAATAGAAGTGGGGATTTTAGGGCAAGTTTATGTAGATCCTACGTTAAGTACCCGCAAATTAGAGACTGTGTGTGGTGTTAGTCGACGTACTGTCCAACGGATTCGAAAGGCCCGTAGTTTTCATCCGTATAAAATTCACCCGGTACAAGAACTTAATGAAGACGATTTTGATCGGCGCGCCGATTACAATTTTGTGAAGATATGAGTGAACGAATTATAAACGATGAACATCTTCTATTCAACACTTGCTTTTCCGACGAATGTTCCTTTTTCTTAAATGACATATTAAATCGTCATAACTGCCGATATTGGTCCGATTCTAATCCCAGAATTTATAATGAGGTTCATACACAGCAGCCACAAAAATTAAATGTTTGGGTTGGTATTTTTGGAGATCATTTAGTTGGTCCTTTTTTCTTACCTGGAAATTTTACCGGTGAAATGTATTTGGAATTACTGGAAGACGCCATAGATCCTGTATTAACAGCCATAATTGAAAATCAGAATGATCGGCGGTACATTGCGGATATGATGGTGCCCCACCACATTACGCATTACGTGTTCGACGTTTCCAGATCGATGGATTGGTAGAAGAGGTGCCACTGAATGGACCCAAGATCGCCAGATTTAGCACCTTTGGATTTCTTTATGTGTGGTCATTTGAAAAGCAAAATCTATGCTACTCAGCCAACATCATTAGAAGACCTGCGGCAAAGAATTGTGAACGAGTGCCTTCAAATTACTCCTCAAATGTTGCAAAATGTGCGGCAACGTTTTGACTAAAATCTTTATTATTGCATGTAGAGTCATGGTGGCTATTTTCAACATTTACTTGCCTAACGGGCCAGTTCATTCTTTATTTTTAAATTACTTTGCTGCCAAATGTATTGATCTCCACTAGTGATGATGTATTAGTTTTATTTAAGCTTTAAATCAATAAATCTTCAAAACTACTGAACTGAAGTACATTAATTTTATATCATTATAAAGGGAATTGAAAGACCTTTAAAAGTAAATGCGTCTGTTTCGTTTTTATAATTCAGTTAATAGCGTTTTAGATATATTTTTATTTTGTGCGACTTTTGGAGACATTGATGCTTATTTTCCTTAATGCTTGCCGGTCTGATTGTTGAGTGCTGGATAAGTAAAGCTACAACGCTTTTTTTCCTCGCAGTTCTGTTTTGAGGTATTCTTTGCAGCGTTTTAGCTTTCTCTAAATACATCCACTACATGCATCTGTTTATATTTTCATGTTTATCCATCCTGTAATTGGCTATGGCTGTTGGATGTTGCTAAATAAATAAATAAATAAATTAAGTAACTATTTTTCTAAATTTTATTTTCACACAAATAAATAATGGCCTCCTTAGAAAAAAATTAATACATAACATTACGTGTGATGATATTTTGATGATAATACAATCTTTTATGCACTTGTGTGACATCACTATGCTGGAAATTATACGCCCTATTAAAAAATCGGAAAATCCAATATGGCGGCCATAAGAAAAATGAAAGTTGAGGCATGGAGCGGGAAAACAAAAGATGCTTGTTATGCACGCTATCTTATTTATCTTAAAAAAAGCCCGAATAATTTCAGTCGTTCCTACTATTGTAAGACGCCTTTATGGCCTTCTTGATTTTCATAGTTTTCTACTGTTCCGTGTCAGTGCTTTATTTTGAGGTTATGACACAAATGTCTATTTGCATCAAATTATTCATGCTTTTGATTCAAATTATCTTTTATATCAGCTTGAAATTTCCTGCAATTGAAAAATAAAAGATAGCCTCACAATGGGTGAGCCCTGACGCTGATACGGAGCAGTAGAAATCTAGAAGTTCCCCAGCCTTTTTTAAGGAGAGAAAAGACTATGGAAATCAAGGAGGCCATAAGGACGTCCTACAATTGTAGAATAGATAAGCGAATCTGGAACACACTGTATATGTAAGACGACGACAGACGGGTAAACGTAAAAACAAGCCCGACTTAGGGCCATATTGTCAGTCGTTCCTACTATTGTAGGACGCCTTTATGGCCTCCTTGATTTTCATAGTTTTCTACTGTTCCGTGTCAGTGCTTTATTTTGGGGTTATGACACAAATGTCTATTTGCATCAAATTATTCATGCTTTTGATTCAAATTATCTTTTATATCAGCTTGAAATTTCCTACAATTGAAAAATAAAAGATAGCCTCACAATGGGTGAGCCTTGACGCTGATACGGAGCAGTAGAAATCTAGAAGTTCCCCAGCCTTTCTTAAGGAGTGAAAAGACTATGGGAATCAAGGAGGCCATAAGGACATCCTACAATTGTAGTAACGACTGACGATACGGTCCTTAATAGGTTGAGAAGTACCACCCTGTACCATTAAGTTTTATTACTTACAACCAGTTATCCTCCTTTGGCATAGAATAAGGGCGGTATGGCTTGATTGTCGGGGCCAACACCTATTTTTGGAATAACATTAGCATGAGTACCTCTTATACTCAACTGATTTCGTCACATAGACTGAATCAAACCTACAAACAGACTATTTGGTCGCAAAGTGTAGGGAAAGATATTCTGAGGGATTGTTACGAAAAGCATTCCAGAAACAAGCTTATCATGTTGCCGTGTCAATACCCGAAAGCTCCGGCGTTACCCCTGTTACAGAGATAACCGAGAAATATGACTACTTCGCCGTGTCAGTATCCAAAGCGCGCCGGCGTTTCCTCTGGTAGGGGGAACTTAACATAACTACATGAACTCAGCAATCCGGCTCTAGAAGTTCCATAACAACCCAAAAAAACTGGAGGCGTGCCACTAGGTACTCAGTAACAATAAACAGTAAAGTCGTAAGCCATAAATCAAAACATGAAGGGAAAAAGCATAGCATCTTTATAAACATGGCTTATTATTCATGACCATGGATATAAAAGTATTATGGTTAGAAATCCATCTACTACAGCAGAACAAAGGAATACTCAGGTAACCAAAACACTACAACCAATAGCACAGTAACACGAATCAAGTTCACTCTGAACCCTACGTGAAATTAGCAGGAACCATTATACTCATGTGAGTGCAAATAACGCCATTGGAAGCTTACATTAACCAGACTTGTGAACCTTCAAGAAGGAATACATTCGGCCATCGAACATTCAACGTGCCCGGAGGTGATCATTCGCTACCAGAATACTCCGGTGGAACTCCATCGTCACCACTTTCACTATCCGAGTCGTCCGAAATATCTTCTGGTGTACACCCAGATTTCATCCTGCCCACGTAACTCTCCTCCCATAATTCGCTTTCTGCTCGGTACGGTGTGATCCCCATCATGTACGATACAGCATACCTACCATCAGTCAAAGCAGCAACCAATGGACCGCTATAAGATGACGAGTTTTCGACTCGACCCCGTAGCAGGATTCTTAATTTCGACCAAGACTAAAACGCCCGGCCTATATTTTCGCGGGGCCTTCGGCCTCTTATCAAAACTAAGTTTTTGTTTATCTTGAGATTCCTGTACTGTTCGCTGAGCTCCCCCCTCCTACGTTATATACTCAATTGTATCGTCACCAACAAGGTTAACATAAAAAGGATTATCTGCCGGAGGAATCAGGTTTAAGTATGGTATGTAGCTCTTGATATCCTTAAGTTTAGCTTCCGCTACAGGGTTTTCAATGGGCCAAAGAGGTTGCAAATGCCGAGAGAAAGGCATTTTTTGTGGTTTACCTTTATCTTTTTTAATATTAATTTCTTTATAGTCATCAGTGCTGTCGTGGGTTGTTTTGATAAAGATACTATAGGGCTTCTCTTTTAAAACCTTAATTTCGTTAATTTTTAGTTAGTTGATCTTTTCCTTTTCACAACTTTTTTTCTATTAGTTATTTCTTTTTCAATCTTTTGGGTACTAACAAAGTCTTCTCTTTCTATGCTCACCACCTCAATGGGACGCTTCTTTCTACAGGACTCCATAACCTGAATGTAGTCTTCAGGGGAAAACATTTCAGTGTGCCTTTTGAGAACACATTCTACATCCCCAAATTCACTGTTATTGGGCAGAAAACTGTGTCCGGATGTCAAAAATTGCAACTTTATATATTCTACGTGTTTAGATCCCCCAAGAGCACATTTTAACAAAAGTACCATGTTAATATTTCTATTGTGACCCCACAGGAGTCGCTCCATAATATACGCTTTTTAACGGTTTTTGAGACATTATTATTTGCATATAACGCAGCAAACAAGAGCCAACCGCCACAGTTGTAGAGCCATAGCTATCTTTTATAAAATATAATGTTTGTATTAAGGCCGGCAGTACACTATAAAAGTTCTTTTACAAAAATCTTTCATAAATTACTTTTACAAACGTTATACATAAAAGAAATGTTATGGTTGCCAAACAGCCTATTACACTACGTAAAAGATTTTATAAACTATTCTAAGAAGATAGTTCAAATACAGCTAGGGACGACGACATTCAGGTTGCTGCCATAGCTAGTTTTACTTCGGCAGCCATTGTAGAGGCTTTAATAACGAAAAAGAAGCGACTGTGGGTAAATCCGTGGATCGCCCGCCGTGAGTTGAAGATGATCTACGATAACTTGGTCCCAGAACTGGCAATGGAAGATCAGATAAATTATGTTAACTTTTTGAGAATCAATGAGGTTGACACATTTACGAAGGCCCATCAGCACTGAGAAGCGGCTCATGGTAACTTTGCGATCTCTAGTCACCGGAGAGGGTTACACTAGCCTCCAGTATGCCCCACACCATCTGTTTTACTCCATCTAGACACAACTACGCAAAATCGTTTATCAAGTATAGGATGAAGAGGATAAATATGATAAAAAAACTTTTACAAAAGCTTCCTTCTATAAAAGTTGGCCTATTGTACTGTCACATTTCTTTTCCAACTTCTTTTATCAAATATATTTGTCAAATAACTTTTATAGTGTAATGCCGGCCTCAGACGTGATAACGGAAGTGTCTTCTCCATATCAAAGGTCAGTGTCTCTATTTCCTTATTCTGTGTTGCTCCTTTGATATCACTATTCATCTTAGTTCCGGCTCTTTCTGTTTCAGCCAAATGCATACTATGGTCAAAGCTGATCTTACTTTTCTCTTCTCCTGCTGGTAAGTTTTAAACTTTATGTCAATTGCGTCACATTTATTACAGGCATCTTTCTTGGGCTTTTTTACTTTTAAGTTGAACTATTTTAAAAAAACTGCTTCTGGGAGGAAAAGCTTACGAGATTTACATTTTCATCTGTGTAAAGCTTATACTATACATAACTGTGAGTGTCGTTCCTTCAGCCAAATATTCCTGTTTGCCACTTTTTGCCCTACAACAGTGAGACTTATAACGGGGAAACTTATTAATGTGACTGATAACCGCATTGTTTTGTTCTCAAAAGTTCCAATAATGGTAAACAAATTTTTTTCTCTCGTCAACAGATACTTTTTGGTCATATTTCATGACACAGGAACATTTTTGATCTATGAATTCTTCTGGTTGAATTAGTTTTCCTTTAGATGGATAATACTGTTTATTACAATTTTTGAGTTTTTTCCGCATCGCCCTGTTTTGTTCTTTGTACTTCCTCTTCCTTCCTTTTCTTGGACGCCGCTTATATTCTGGAGCTACAGCAGTATTGCTGTTGCTTGTCCTTTCTGTATGCTCCGTTGATTGCAAGTTGTAATTACTGTCAACAGAGGATTTATCGGAAGAACTTGGTTCATAATCCTGGTCTTTGATAGAATCATCGGAAACTTTTGAATACCATTATTCTGCGTCACGTGTTCACTAGTAGCATACTTCCAAAGGCAGGGTTCTAGAGTCTGGTAATTTTCATTTTCATTATTCATGGATGTATTGGGATGACATTCTTCTGTACTCTGTAGAAAATATAAACAAAATGTATTAGCCAAATGAAATAAATTTGAAATCTTCATTTCCTGTTTAAATGAATGGACTTACTGTGTTAGGTCCGTATCGTCAGTCGTCCCTACAATTGTAGGGCTCCTTTATGGCCTCCTTGATTGTCATAGTATTCTACTTCTCCGTGTCAGCGCTCTATTTTGAGGTTATGTCACAAACATCTATTTGCATCAAATTGTGCTTGCTTTTGAGTTATATCATGTTTTATCAGCCTGAAATTTCCTACAATATAAAAAGAAAACATATCTTTACAATAGGAGAGCACTGGCGCTGACACGGGAGGGGTGCAATCTAGAAATTTTTGAAGGAGAGAAAGGAGTATGACAATCAAGGATGCCATAAACGCGCCCTACAAATGTAGGGACGACTGACGATACGGGCCTGTCTTGACATCAAGTCCACTATATTCCTTTGATTCGTCCTGAATCTCTTTTACATATGACTTTGCTGTAGAGCGTTCGATACAAATTCCTGCCCCTGTCTCTGAAGTGAGCTGCAAACCCAGTAAAGATATGTAATTTGCAACAAGGAACCAACTGCATTTTTCAGAATATAATACAACCTCTCTGAAATATATTTCAATAAAAGCCTAGTCCAGATTGGTCAATACGCGACGGCGAACAAAGACTCAACAAAATATTAAATAGCTTCCACGCCGCAATCACATTTTATCATTTGAGGTTATGATATAATTGATAAAACATAATAGTAAAACCGATCATCAAATTTGATCCAACTTACCGCAGCGTTTGGGATTTCTGTCGTAAAGATATCCTTTTCTGCGTTAACCCTTTCCATTATGAACAGCGTTCTATTGCAATACATGCCTAAATAAAATAATATAACTTGTGCTAACTAAGATTCACTCCGTAACGCTCAACTTTACAACAAAAATTCACAAATATGCAAAAGGGAACCAAGTACCGTCGGTTCCTCCAAAACAAAAAGTAATAACTGACACTCTGACTGACACCTTGCATAAGGTTTCAAGTAAACTTGGAACTTCGTTGAAAAATGCAGTGACCTTGCTTTGCAATTTGCAATATGTTTCTTTCACACATAGACGACGCCAGCAGCTATTTAACGCCAGGTTCCTTGTTGGAAGACATGGGTAGGTAATTCGTGATTTAGAAAAAGGAAATAGGTCATTTTAGACCAAAATGTTGTTTCGTAAACCAGGCGAGACCTCAAATTGAACAAAGCAACAGAGTTTGGAAGACTGAGAAGAAGAGAAATAAATCGAACAGTGAACAATGTACAGATAAGTATCATACTTTGACTACAAAATAACAGATATTTTGAATATCTGATATGATTTGTATCTGCTTATTTAGGATTATTATTGTTATTACCATTGATAAAATGTTCATGTTGTGTTCGGGTTTCGCCACACCTTTTTCTTTCCTTATAATTTCATCTGTCAACAAGTTCAATGTATGACGTATTATACACTTCTTAGAACAGAATTAAAAATCTATTTATCCGTGCAAAAACATAATATAGCGACCATAAGAAAAATTAAAGTTGATGCCGGAGGAAAAGAAACGAAATGTTATACTGAAATTCAAATTACGCCATCTTGTAGGTGTAGAGGGGACAAGTGGCAATGTTGGTGTGTAAGTTATTCTGGAATCCCATTACAAACACGGCCAGGAAAAATTTAAACGATTTTGGGAAAATTATTTCGCAGAAAAATTAGCAATAAATAAAGTGACTGAGAGATAAAATCGATGTTATTCACGCTATTTACTTTTTTAGTAACTTTTTAATGATTAATTCCACTAACTGATGTCATACAACATGAGCTCATATTCGAAGGGAAATGACACTTGTTATGCAAATGCACTGAGCTCGATTATTCAGACTAATTCAAAATTATGATGAAAATGTAGGAAAACCTAATACAAAGTAATGTGTACGAGAAAGAAGCGCGAGAAGCGTGCAACACGTGTGTTAGAAAGAGATAGAAGCACATCGTTGCTTAGCAACCCGAGTGACGAGGCCACAGACGCCATCGGCGCACTCTTTCTAACATATATACTGCACGCTTCTCTCTCGTACACATTACGACGTCAGCCAAATGTGACACTAACCGTATATTAAATTTAGTAACATAATGCACATATGAAACATCATACAATTAAATATCAAGACCGGACCTGCACTACGTTTTTATGGATTCTTAACTTCATTTAAAGTTGGTCTGGAAGGTCAAGTTTAGGGGATTTGCATACTAACGTAGTTTCTGTTTTAAGCAAAACTCATGTTGATGTACACAATCAGATGGTAGAATTAAACCAATAAAAATTACCTAAAAAGACTTTTCTCTTTATTTATATCACTCATTGCTCTTTGAAATGAAATGCAATCAGTCTATTTTGCTTATTAATACGCGCCATTCATTGTTTCTTTAGTACATGGTCAAACATCCAGCTTAAAAGACGTTGATTTTGCTAGAATACAGACAATTCAAAGTTTGACTCCAGCTCCGGATTTTTTAACCGTGAGTACCAGGCAACTATGGTATTTTGCAAAATTTTATCAAAATCGCTGCAATGGTGCCTGAGATATGTGATATTGTCTACTTAGACAAGTCTCTCTGTATACCCGTAAATAATGAATTTAAATCTTTTTTATTTTTCATACTACCTACCATTTTACTATGTCCATTAAGACCCGGAACACCCTGTAGATATATCGGTCAACTAATCACCATACCAAGACGTAATTAAATCGCTGCGTAAGCCCGGCAAGTACTAGTGAACTACAAAAATCGTAAGAGCCTCGGAATTACAGGGACCGAAACCGCTTCATTAGAAATCGTTTTCTACTCAACTAATTAAGTTAATTATGAGCGAGCGGCGCAATTTGAAGCAGAGCGCACCGCACGGCGATGAAAAAGTTTTTAAGGTGGCTCGCTGCCGCTTCTAATTGGGTGTTTTCGTAAACACGGCCGGCTAGATGTAATTGAAAAAAATTGCTACGTCGACGCGACGCCACCGGATACACCGGCACCGGGACGGACGACGTCCTGGGTCTGGTGAAACGCACCCGCGCCAGACGATGCAACGGGGCTACTAACGGACTTCAATCAGGTCAATTCATTTAATAACCATATAGTGAGATATACTCCGAGCAATGTAACATCTGAAACTTATTCTGGAGTTACATCGTCGCTGGAAAGACAAAGGGGCGAAAATGCCCAGAA